GAGTTGAGTTTTCATCATTAAACATCATTTACAGAGATCAAAGTCCAGTAATGCAAATAATAAATGAAAAAGCACGTGAATCTCAAAATACTGAAAATAATAATCAACAGGTGTTTTTACAGTCACAATGTCATCTCAGTGTGAGGATATGAACAAATTACCTTCAACATTATGCTGATTATTTTTTTTAGATCTCAAACTCAATAAAGGCCAATTACAATATACAAACACTCTGAAAAGGGCATTTTATTTCTGTGACGGAAATGCCAATCAAAACAGAGTGACAAATCAGAGCAGAGTTGGCTTATTGAGAGGGAAGGGCTTACAGACCTTATGGACGGAATTGATTCAAATGAATCGCATCGAAATCATCGCAAAAATGATGTTAATATAAAATGCATATTCAGAGAAAATGAGCTTAGATGCATTTAAATCTGTTGTAGGAGGTTAAACTCAATGTTAGCACACTATTAAATACTGCTATTACATGTGTGTCAACGTTGGGATGTGAAAATAAAGGATATGGCCCTGCCATCGACATCTTTAGATATTATTATTAGATATTATTATTATTAATTATTATTAATTGTGTATAAACCATTCAAACACGCACTCACAACCCAGACTTTCGCTCCGCTTCAAATCATAAGTACAGAATGCATTTGGTAAGCAGCATCTATTTACTACTTTGTGACTGTTTTGATGATTGCATAGGAGGGGCAACAGTGCCTGTAATGGAAAGGAATACATTTTTATATTTATTTCAACGTGCTTTCATGCCTAAATGAAATGAAAGCACAGAACAGATGCACATTTAAGAAAGGAAGCGACATCCCCTGGTGATTTGGCAGTATGGGTTGCGTATACGGAGGATCAGCTCTTTATTGCCACCCTTTATAGAAGTTTGAAAATACAGGAGAAAAACGGGAAAATACATTCACAGGATGATAGCGGGATAGAATTGTAAAATACGAGAGAATCTTTGGAAATACAGAGGGTTGAAAGATATGCTATTAATATATTACTATAAAAAACTATATTAATAAAGAAGGAGTTTTCACTTTATGTGCCTCTTAGAATAATGAAAAAATCATTGCTTCTGAAAAATAGATGTCATTGTGTTGGTAAGTCGTGCTCTGCTGCTCTGACTTGCTCTCTTGTCTTTGTTTATGGCATTTCTGTCATGCTTACTGGTTGTGGTTTGTGTTTTTGGTTGTGTTGATGTGGTTGTGATTTTGTTTTTAGCAGTGAAAACATCTTCAACAGTCAAACAGCTATAAAATACAGTCAAATATAACAAATGAATAATGTCTGTGTCGTTTATTTTCACATTACTCCTGTCTTAATCTACATTATCGCTTCATTAATGAGCGTCACTATTATTTACAGGTCTTCAGTGCAGTATATTGAGAGGAGAATTGAGGAAGCAGTGCTTTAGCTTCTAGTATATAAAACGTTTTAATTGAATAATCCTGCACATAAATGCCAGATTAAACCCCCAACTCTTCATCTCTCTAATGGATGATTAGCTCTGATTAGCCATTAATTAGCTAAAGTGTCTCCCACTGACACACACACAAAGCAGATTAGCCACGGGTCGGATCATTTACTATTTTACTCTCCGTCCACACAATCTTATAATCTTATACTTTGATTTCTAACAGTCATTTTCCTAAGAGTGAATGGAGGATCAGTTTTAATAATGCATGATACTGCCTCATCCATAGATTTTTTCAATATTAATTGTTTGTTTTGACAATAATGGATGAATTTAGAGATGCAACATCACAACGTTAAACATTGCGTTATTAAGACTTGATATTTCTTTCGATCATTCTCTTCTTCTATTCTCTTTTATAAAATAACAATATACTAAAGCAGTGGTTCCCCAACTTTTTTTATCAAGTACCACCTCAGAATTTTTTTTTCTTTCCAAAAACCACCACCGGTATTGAAATACAGTAGCTTATGCCTAATTAAGCAGCTACAACTCTACAGTTCAAAAGCCAGGCAGATTAATTACTATTATTAGGCAGTGGCGCAGTAGGTAGTGCTGTCGCCTCACAGCAAGAAGGTCGCTGGTTCGAACCTCGGCTCAGTTGGCGTTTCTGTGTGGAGTTTGCATGTTCTCCCCGCGTGGGTTTCCTCCGGGTGCTCCGGTTTCCCCCACAGTCCAAAGACATGTGGTACAGGTGAATTGGGTAAGCTAAATTGTCTGTAGTGTATGAGTGTGTGTGTGGATGTTTCTCAGAGATGGGTTGCGGCTGGAAGGGCATTCGCTGCATAAAAACTTGCTGGATAAGTTAGCGGTACATTCCGCTGTGGCGACCCCGGATCAATAAAGGGACTAAGCCGACAAGAAAATGAATGAATGATGAATGAATATTTATTATTGTCAGCCGCTTTAACCATTATAAATAGTTTGAACATTAACACTGTACTATGCTTACAGGTAAAAAAGAAGTAAAACATCAATATTTAAATTAAAACATGCTTTTAAAAGTTAATTAAAAATGAAACTGTTTGTAAAAAGTGAAAAGAAAACTGCTGTACCTAAATGTAAAGTGTTATCATAAAGTAGCCTATTCATCAAAACCTAGAAATGTCCCTTGGACCTCATAAATATAGACTATATGTCATCATATTCATATATAAACTCTTTTTGATACATTTTTAGTATATGTCGCATGTATATTGGACTAATTTGCATATCTTTAAAGTCTAAACATTAACTTATAATTTAAATATGTAAATCTAAATCATATGTTTAAAATACAAGTCAGATCTGCAGGTTAGAGTAGGTTTTGTGTGTCAGAAAAGCAAGTGATTAAACTATACTTGTCATAATTGGGACATAAAAATACTGGATTCACCCCAACAACAATTACAAATATGGGGAGGAAATTATTGTAGCTTCAAATGATAGAATACATTAGAACAGGGGTGTCAAACTCAATTCCTGGAGGGCCGAAGCCCTGCACAGTTTAGTTCCAACCCTGCTCCAACACACTTACCTGTAGGTTTCAAACAAGCCTGAAGGACTCAATTAGTTTGATCAGGTGTGTTTAATCAGGGTTGGAACTAAACTGTGCAGAGCTGCGGCCCTCCAGGAACTGAGTTTGACACCTGTGCATTAGAACATTGGAAAATTAAAATTAAAATAAAAGGTTTAGCCTTTAGGTTTAGCTGATTTATTAAAATCAGTTTACTGATCACATCCGTGTTATTGTACGCATCAAAGGATTAAAAGTGTGTTCATTTTTTAACTTTAATTATTCAGCGATTCCTCCGCGTACCACTAGAAGGAAGCCTGCGTACCACTAGTGGTACACGTACCACAGTTTGAGAACCACTGTACTAAAGCAATGGGAGGTAACAAGGTGGCGCAGTGGGTTGCACGTTCACCTCACAGCAAGAAGGTCGCTGGTTCGAGCCTGGGTCAGTTGGCATTTCTGTGTGGAGTTTGCATGTTCTCCCTGTGTTCGCGTTTCCTCCGGGAGCTCCGGTTTCCTCCACAAGTCCAAAGACATGTGGTATAGGTATGCTAAAACTGACCGTAGTGTGTGTGTGTGTGTTTGTGAATGAGTGTGTATGGATGTTTCCCAGTGATGGGTTGCAGCTGGAAGGGCATCCGCTGCCGGATAAGTTGGCGGTTCATTCCGCTGTGGCGACCCCTGATAAATAAAGTGACTAAGCCAAAAGGAAATGAATGAATGATAACATAATGAAAAAAGTAAATAATTACATTGAATATAATAATCAATATCAAGGTACAGTTCAATTAAATGAGGCTTTGATACTAGGTCACATCATCCAGGCCTTATGTACAGTTTTTAAGGATTGATGTTTACTTGAGTGTGACGTATGGTACAGTACAGTGTGTTTAATCTTGCTGGATTGTCAGAGCCATTAGTGTAGATAAATACAGCAGCTGATGGCGACTGTGACCTTAAACACTAATGTGTGTCTGACCTTAATCTGATGTATACACATGCAAACAAAAACAAGCCGATCGCAGAGTTCAACTCCGTGCTGACGTTCACTCCTGATGTTTACAGGCCCTAATACATGTTTATTAGATCATCGTGATTCGAGACTGAGTGCTTACATTTGGGCTTTTTTCTTAATGTTGTTTCTGCGCTGTTGTGCATTCGCAGTGTGATGCACACAGTTCATTAGGTCAAGTGTCAGATAATCTAGATTAACCTTTTGACCAGCACATTCAGCAGTGCATTATTTCATTCTTCTTTTAAATTTATCAATATTTTATTTGACTAAAAAGCAAAATTGTAGAGAAAAGTATTAAATATTTTGTAAGTAAATTAAATGTATACTATGAATAAATATTAATAAAATATTTACTGTATAATTTTATTATGATTCTCTCACAATTTTTTACTTTAACTTAAGTGGCAATAAGTGAATTTATACATTTAATAATATTTGTGTTAATTAGAGTAATGGCTCATCATTTGCTCATTCTCACCCTTTTGTTGCAATTTTAGAATAACGTTAGCATGAATAAATTATTGCTATCCTAGTTTTTGTGTAAATTATTCCTTTATTATCTTGCTGGTTATGACAAAATTTGTGTGATTTTTTTTTTTTTTTTGTATGTTGTTTTTGAATAATTATGGGCTGTATTTTATATGTAAATTATATTTGTTTTATTTATTTATTATATATTGTTTTTTTTTTTCAATTTTAGTCTTTGTTAATTACTATTGTATTATTATTATTATTTAGATTTCTTAATTTTTTATTCATTTATTAATTTATTTTTAATTTTCTTTTTTTCCTATTTACTATTGTTTATTAATATTATCAATCCTGTGCATATAGATTGTTGCTAAAAAGTAATATTCCAATTTATTTCACTCAAAAAAGTGCTGTATGTTTATTTTTACACTTAATAGACCAGTGTTTGTTGTCGTTTTGTGTTGAACATTAAATATAATCTCATTGATGTCATTTGCCGGTATCTTTGATTTCTCCTGCAGTTGACGGAAAGAACATGGTGTTGCTCTGTCATCATGGCGATGGTCTTATTAGCCTGGCTCCTCCCACTCATTACTTCTGCCACGCCTTTTCCTAGAGATCTGCAGCCAATTAGTGTGGTGGGATTGGACGGTGAGTCACATGACTGACATGGTCCCTCCTCCATTCCAACAGATTCTCTGTGCAATATACTTTATATTGAAATATTTATGTTTAATTATTATTTATTTTATATTTCTACGTAATCAAACAAATAAAGAAATCAAATAGAGATATATGATCACATAAGTACGTTACTGTCTGTAGACTTTAATATGTAAAAAATAAATAGTCAGTGTATATATAATGAGGTCAGTATAAACATATTAAATTAATTAATTAATATGTTAAAATAAATTTATTGAATTTGCATAAATGGATCTATATCTTCATATATGACATATATTGTGATAAATGTAGGACTTATAGCCCTACCGCTGCGATTAAAAATGCTGTTTTGTTGTAAGAGTTTTAATTAATGTTTTAATTATTTTAATGTTTTCTTTGCTCATAATTGGCTTTTTCTGCACTCACATTCACAGGCATAATGGATTTTCCATTAGCCATCACAATATATTATTGTCGACCAGAGCTTTAATAGAACTGATGTCATATTAGACAGATTTTACTCCGCTATTTCCAAACCCATCAGGCCTAAAAACATTAGGAACAGTAAATTTCATTTACTTTAATTGTCTAAATGTGTCATTAATTCAGAAATTAAACATATGTTAATGTTAGCATTACACCATGTACTTTTCTACCACTGCTGCATCATAATAACAGCATAAACTACAATGACACAGATCTCCTCAGGCACAGATTATGTGCTTTATTCAGTGTAAACTACTCCCAGTGTGAGTTTAAATGTCACATCTATTGCCTGAAAGCAGCAGCAGATAGTTCAGCTCAGATCTAACTAGCAGACGAAATGAAAGTCAGAGCTGTGAAAGACTGATAGACGGAGGCGTTTGTGTGTTTCTCTGCAGACTCGTACCTGTACCCCAGTTTTCAGGGTCTGGTGTCCAGCAATGAGACGGAGCGTCTGGGTCTGGACTATCAGCGCATGATGAGGATCCAGCACATGCTGTACATCGCCGCCAGGTCTGCATTCACTCAGCTCACACACCTACAGGAGTGTGTTTCAGATTATGAAGATATACATGTCTGTGCAACACACCACATCGAGCTGGACCAGTCTGAAATTGAAGAGTATCATGCTAGTCTTCAATGTGTGGTGTCATATGTGTGATTTAAGTGAGAATAAATGTGGAAATGGGCGGCACGGTGGTGCAGTGGGTAGCATGTTCACCTCACAGCAACAAAGTCGCTGGTTTGAGTCCCGGCTGGGTCAGTTGGCATTTCTGTGTGGAGTTTGCATGTTCTCCCCATGCTGCTGTGGGTTTCCTTCGGGTGCTCCAGTTTCCCCCACAAGTCCAAACGCATGCGCTATAGAGGAATTGAGTAGGCTAAACTGGCTGTAGTGTATGTGTTTGAATGAGTGTGTGTGGATGTTTCCCAGTGATGGGTTGCAGCTAGAAGGGCATCCACTCTGTAAAACATATGCTGGATTAGTTGGTGGTTCATTCCGCTGTGGTGACCCCAGATTAATTAAGGGTCTAAGCCGTAAAGAAATTAATGAATGAATTGATTAATGATGGAATTTTAAATTATTTTGACTTTTTTTGTTCGTTTTGTTCTTATTGTGTGTTTTTCTCCGGTTTAGAGACCATGTGTTTGTTGTAAATCTCACAACGGCAGTAGATGAAATTATTCCACAGCAGGTAAAATACACTCACACACACACACACACACACACACACACACACACACACACACACACACACACTCACTCACACTTTCACACACAGACACTCAAACACACAGACACACAATTTAATTACACCATTACTAAAAAAAAAATGAAATATAAATTGCACAACATGATGAAAAAGTACAAATAATTTGCTTAATTAAATTAAACCAATTTAATTTGATCCAACAAACACTTTTTATTTTTTACTTTTTTTTTTATTATTTTTTTAGATGTTTTAATGTTTAATGATTTGTTTTTAAATTTTCTTAGACATTTCTTTCTTAATGACATTTAATTGAACAATTATTTATTTATTATTATTTTAAGCTACACATTAGTGGATGTTCATTGCAATTGATTTATGAAAGTTCTATATAAAAACTGAATAGAGGGAAATAAAAAACAGATCAAGCTATAAAGATTATAACGCTGTATAAAGTGCCCTGTGAGCGTCATTCCTGAGCACTCATGTTAGTGTGTGTCTGCAGATCCTGACGTGGAGATCCACAGACGTGTCCAAGTGCACCGTCAGAGGAAGAAACAGTGTAAGAATCTCCATCACAGCAGATCTGAGATCAGATGAGGAGACACAGCTGCACTAAAGATGTGCTGCTGGAAAGAGTCCACTGTTCAGCACACATCACTCACTGTGATTCAGTCCACCTACTTTGATGAAAATTGCTTAAAAAGTGCTTAATTGTAATGCTAAGGTGTGCATACATATGAAAGAGTGTGCATAACAGCAAAGCACATCATCGAGGATCATGTTTATATCTGATAAAGAAAATCAGCATAAGCTCTGCTCTAACTGGATCAGGTTTGGAACAAGTGATAGGAAAAGGCTTTATTTCTGTGTGTTTTCAGGATGAATGTTACAATTATATCAAGGTTCTTGTTCCTCGTAATGACGAGACTCTGTTTGCCTGTGGAACAAACGCGCTGAATCCTGCCTGCCGCAACTACAGAGTGAGTAAACCACGCCAGCGCCCTCATGTGGAGAGAGAGAGAGTGTGTTTATTTGAGTTTAAGTGTGTGTGTTTGTGTATGAGAGTGTGAGTATGTGCTGTGTATGCGTGTGTGAGTATTTGTTTGTGTGTGTGTGTTGATATGCTGTTGTGTTGTTTTGTTTTGTTCAGTTGAGTTCACTGGAGCAGGTCGGACAGGAGCTCTTGGGTCAGGCAAGATGTCCATTTGAGTCTCGACAGTCCAATGTAGGAGTGTTTGCAGGTGAAACACACACAGAGACGGATGTGAAGATATATACACCTGCAAAATAAGACTAAATTTGTCTTCCAGGGGGATATTTTATTAACACTCTCACCAAATAACAATGTTAAAATAGATTTATTGCTTTGTTATTTTTGTTTTGAATTTAAATACAGAAAAACAACATGACTGCATTATTAAAAGTATATAATAAAGTATATTATTATTATTATTATCATTATTATTATTATTAAATAGTCATACTGAATAAGTTTCCTTTTTTGTTCTTATATGCCAGTAATTGATTGATTGATTGATTTGATTGATTGATTGATTGATTAATTATCTGATTGATTTGATTGATTGATTAATTGATAGATTATCTGATTGATTGGCAGGTAGACAGACAGTGAAGTGCTTCTTCATTTAAGTGTTTTACATTTCCCTCTCCTCTATACTTCAGGTGGTCATTTCTATTCAGCCACAGTGACGGACTTCCAGGCGAGTGACGCTGTGATCTACAGGAGTTTAGGAGGAGAGGGTCGACCTGTTCTGCGCACTGTCAAATACGACTCCAAATGGCTCAGAGGTGCAGCTTTCCCTGATTTACCTTCATTATAATCACTAGATCTGTTTCTATCAGCCTAATTTTAAGCGCCTTTTGGATTATTGCATGAAAAAAATGCTTAACAGAATTGCCAAGATGTGCTTACATTTTAAATATGTGCATACAATAGTGTATGCATCTGTCTGCACTCCCAAAGAGTGTCTCACACCTCCAAAAGCCACCGCATTCATTGCATTTCATCTTCTGAGGCGCAACTCGTTTATTAGAGGAGAACAAACACCACAGTGGCAAATCCCAACAGTGCAGCAGACTCTGCTTCTCTCAGCAGGAGCTTCTCATTTTACTTCTCTTTTGTGTCTCACTGGAGGGAAACGCTGCTTCAGTCACTAATGCTTTATGTGCTGTTCCAGTTATTCCCTCTTTGCCTGGAAACACAGCTCGTGTCTGCTCAGATCATGTGTGCTTTTAGCAGAGAGACACACTGCTGTGAGAAATGCTCAACTGTTTATGTTGTTGGTGAATTGTGTTGTTTTGTTTCTGCAGAGCCTCATTTCCTGCACGCTGTCGAATACGGGAACTATGTGTATTTCTTCTTCAGTGAGATTGCTGTGGAGCACACTGCTGCTGGGAAGGTAAATCAGCTCCAGCTAGAAGTAAACTCAGAGAATAAGGGAACGTTCCCACAACATTCTCCCAGTGTTCTCTAAGCGTTACAAACAAACATTCTTCTAGTAATATTAGTGAAACTATATATATATGAGAAGCGTGAACATGTTTTCCTCAGTGGTGTTTAATGCAGTGCTCCACACTGAAGCTCTCTCTCTCTCTCTCTCTCTCTGTGTTTTATTAATCAGCTATTGTCTGTTTCTGCTGCTCATGGCGCAGGTTGTGTATTCTCGTGTGGCGCGAGTGTGTAAGAATGATAACGGCGGCTCCACGCGAGTGTTGGACCGACACTGGACATCATTTCTGAAGGCTCGGCTGAACTGCTCCGTTCCTGGAGACACTTTCTTCTACTTCGATGTGCTTCAGTCTCTGACCAATGTGCTGCAGATCAACCAGAGACCCGCTGTAGTCGGAGTGTTCACCACACAGACCAACAGGTACACACACACACACACACACACACACACACACCAGATCAAAAGATGCACACAATCACCACACACACACAAGTAAAAATAAACAACAGGTACACACACAATCACTGCATACATGCACCTCACACACTCTCTCTCACACGTTTGTTTTCTGATCTCAGTGAGGACATTGCTTGGGCTTGTTTTTCTCTCAGGTTAATGTTGTGTTTGTTGTTGTTTGGTCTGTAATGATGTTTTTACTGTACAGGCCCAACTGTATAATCTCTTCTCTCCTCAACCCTGCTGTACTGGTATTACTATACTTGTGGGGACATTTGAGCCACAATGTGATGAGTATCAGGACCACACACATTGTATATTTCCTATTTCTGTGTGTGTTTTTCCAGTATTCCGGGATCCGCTGTTTGCGGTTTCTATCTGGATGACATTGAGCGAGTGTTTAATGGGAGGTTTAAAGAGCAGAAGAACAGTGACTCCATGTGGACGGCAGTACCGGAGGAACAGGTGCCCAAACCACGGTGAGACACACACACACACACACAATCTCTCTCACTCACTCACAAGTTTGTGAAGACAACCCCTCTTATTTCTACATTTATTATCACTACAAAAAGCTAAGAACTTCATGAAACCTGTCAGGATGATGACTGTAAAATTGGTGCTGAATTATTGTAATTTCCAGAACTGCTTTGTTGAGAGAAGAAATGCAGAAATGTTGCATTTGATGGTTTCCTGATAGAAATATACTTACATAAACTCAGTGGCAGTCCAAATGACTGAAAGAGATTTATTTTAGAGGCTGTTCACATATTGCATCTACACACACTTCTGAACTAAATAAATAAACATCTTTTTTTTATAGGAAACGTTGATATAAATATTACGAATTTTAATGTTTCTTTTTTGGGGGGTTTTGGAGTTAAAAGTGTTGCTGTTTTTCTGTGTGAGTGTGTCTGGGTCTGAATTATTATCATTAAATAAAAGCATGGAAAACAAGTGAATGCCATCAAATAAAAATACAATTACATCAGACATTTGTAAAATCATGTAATTATTTTTAATTATTAAATCAAATCATAATAAATAAACACTTTTTTTTCATCTTTGTGTGTGTGTTCAGTCCAGGTTCGTGTGCAGGTGAGGGTTCTGCCTCCTCCTATTCCTCTTCTGTTCAGTTTCCAGACTCTGTGCTGTCGTTCATCAAAACACACCCGCTGATGGAGGAGAGCGTGCCGTCAGTCAACAGCCAACCGCTGATCACCAACACCGCCAGCAGGTGTGCAGACATGAGCGCACACATGCACACACAGCCAACTGGTGACCAACACCACCAGCAGGAACACACACACAAAAACTCGCTTACACACACACATCAGAAGCATCCCATGTATGTGTGTGTGTGTGTGTGTGTGTGTGTGTGTGTGTGTGTGTGTTTGCGTGTGTGTGTGTGTGTGTGTGTGTATATGTGTGTGTGTGTGTGTGTGTGTTGTGCAGTTATAAGCTGACTCAGATTGTGGTGGACACTGCTGCTGGGCCTCATAAGAACCGCACCGTAGTGTTTCTGGGCTCTGAAGACGGACGCGTGCTGAAGATCCTGACCAACACACACACCAACAGCTCACACACATCCCAGCTGCTGGAGGACATCGACGTGTTTAATCCTACACGGTAAGTGTTTTTAACCAACACACACCTTTAGCTCGTGTGTGTTTTTCTCAGTGCACTGATGTGTGTGTGTGCGCGTGTGTGTTTGCTCAGGTGTGTTGGTGAGCGTGCAGTGTTGGGTCTGGAGCTGGATAAGGAGCATCACGCTCTGTTTGTGGCCTTCTCCAGCTGTGTGATCAGAGTTCCTCTCAGCCGCTGCGCTCAGCACGCCACCTGCAGGAGGTCAGACCGCACTGCACACGATACACACTGCACACACAGCAGCTGGAGCAACCTTTCCCATCATCTGCTTTCCCATCATCAATTTTTGATTGAATTTTGATGGTTTAAATTATAAGAATGATAATGCAGATCTGTTCATCTGAATTCATAAAACTCTTAACAGGTTAATAATTTATTGACATTTTATATCAGGAAATGTCTGTGCATTTGTTTGTTTTTTAAAGAAATCTTTTTACCAGATTTTGTCATGATGAATGCTGGTTATCAAATTAAGGGATGAACATCAAAAGTGTCATTCTCCTTCTAAAATCTAAACTAATGAAAAAAGTAAGTTTAATTTTGGCACACAGTGCTGCACATCAAAGGGTTTTAGTTCAAATGAAAGCATCGCAGAAATATTAGAGTGTACTTATAAAGTCTTTATAAGTATTATTATTCATCTTTATTATTATTATTATTATTATTTATATTGTTTATTCATTCAATTTCCTTCGACTTAATCCCTTTATTCATCAGGGGCCACCAACTTATCCAGCATATGTTTTACACAGCAGATGCCCTCCCAGCTGCAACCCAGTATTGGAAAACACCCACACTCACTCATTCACACTCTCACACACACACACAGAAACACAAACTGACCCAGCCGGGACTCAAACCAGTGACCTTCTTGCTGTGAGGCCACAATGCAACACCACTGAGCCACTCTGTCGCCTTATTATTATTATTATTATTATTATTTATTATTGTTATTTGTATATTATTATTATTATTTTATTATTAGTAATTGTATATTATTATTATTATTATTTTATTATTATTATTATTAATTTTATTATTATTATTTATTATTATTTTATTATAATAAATTTTATTATTATTATTAATTTTATTGTTATTATTTTATTATTTATTATTATATATATATATATATATATATATATATATATATATATATATATATATATATATATATATATATATATATATATATATATATATATATTTATTATTAGGGTATTATTATTATAGAAGAAGCAAGTTCTACTCTACAGTAGTAATACATTTCTTTCACCATCATGTAGAGTGATATATAAAATAAATAAATGTTCAGCTCGTAATTTATATTCAGTAACTCTTCTTATGAATTTAGGGATTTTTACTATTTTCTTTTCGTTGTTGGATTGATTCGTCAGAACTCTACTTGATTCATTTACAGCATAGGTTTATTACAGTGCAGCCAGATGTCAACAGAAAGTCTTCAGACTCCTTACTGAGTGTGTTTCTCCACAGACGCTGCCTCTACACACATGACCCATACTGCATCTGGCTGCGGACGGGACGCTGTGCTGACATGGCCCCGGGGTTCAAGTAAGAGTGACATCACTTCCTGCTGCACCAATAAACCTGATCAGTTATTGAACAAATCAAATTTGATGCAACTGATCTGCCTGTCTCTCTTTCTGTGTGTGTGTGCGCATGTGCGTGTGTGCAGGGCGGGATTTGAACAGGACATTGATGGTGAACAAACTCATTTATTTGACACATGCACTGGTAAGTGAACTAAAGTTACTAAAAACATTATATCATTAAATATCAGCAAAAAAGGAAACATTCTGCTGCTATTTGGAATGTGAATCTGATTAATCCTGGTGTGTGTGTGTGTGTGTGTGTGTGTGTGTGTTTGTGTGTATATGTGTGTGTGTTGTTTTTGTCTGTGATCAGATGTGATGTCATCAGCAGGAAGTGATGTCAAATCAGCTGTGGATTCGGCCTCTGGTCAGTGTCACACACACACACACACACACACACACACACACACACACACACACAATCATCATCAGCATTACTGGAGAGTTATTGCGGTGTGTGTGGATGAGTGAAACTGAACTAATACTGACTGTATATTTACACTGAACTGTTGATAGACTTATTGATAAACGCAGTATACGAGACGTGGCCTTCAGTGTTCATTTGTCAGGCAGGTAAACAGTGCCTCAAGGAGTTAATAAAAAGTAAACACTGATCCTAAATAAAGGTCATTTAATTATAAGATAATGGAGTAATGATCTGATTTTAGTACCTTTTAGTATTCAGTAGGTCACGATTCACACTCATTAAATAATTACTGTGCATAGCTTTTATTTTACATTCTTAGGTGGTAGAAAAAACAGACGTTTCAGCACAATGCCTTACTCAGTGTGACACAATCCACTTGTATCCCACAGTCAATCACATTACGTCATTAGTTAGACGACCTCTCAATAGTTCCAACAATCTCACTTTCATTTCAATATACTGAATTAACCACACTGGAAATATTTACCTTCACCTTTACAAACTCTGAATTGTTTTGTGTAAATGCACCAAAATACACTGCCTATATTCACTGAGAAATGGAGGAACATATTCATTTTCAAAATGGGCTGTACTCAGTTATGCTCAGCACTGTTATGAACTTGTGTGCAGGAGTGAAGCAGCTTCCCGACGCCGACAGTCTGAGCGACGGCTATCACTTCACTCTTCTGGGCGCGTGTGTGTTGCTAGCGTTTGTGTTGGGGGCGATCGCGTCAGGTTTGCTGGTGTCGTGTTACTGCAGACAGAGCTCTCCGTCAACGCCAGAGCCTGAAGCAACACTCGCACACACACATGCACACACACTCTCGCTCAGCAGCCTCGCTAAGATCAACCTGCTGATGGACAACAAACCAGAGAAAAAGAGCGAGTCTCCATCCGCACACATCTACTCGCCCGCTAAACCTCCAGAAGAGCTGCCACCCACGCCCGACTCGACCCCAGAACTGCCAATCAAAAACATCAAAGCCATCAGCAGCCAATGGGAGAGAAGCCACACCCACAACTCCACCCTCCAGCTCATTCCGACCAATCAGAGTCATCCAATGCTTTCAGAAAATCACAGTGATGATATAAGCAGTAGCAGTCAGCGTTTTGATGCCACCCTTATGTCACCTGCTGGATTAAAGTCATACAATCGGACTTTATTACCCAAGTCGTATTACAGCTGTCTGAAAGAGCCGTCAGAATGTTCCACGCTTCAGCAGATTCCCGAACAGCCCTCCGCACAGCGCCACGTCCTCATTAAAATGGGTAACGGGATCACCAGCGCGCGCCAGCACACCTTCAACCCCAAGATGAACTCCAATACGGGGAATATTTACGAGATCCAGCGGCCGCTCGTCGCCGGCGGCTCGTGTTTGACGCGGCAGCACAGTTACAGCGAGCCGCCACAGCTCCAGCGCAGCGCTATCGTCAGACGCACCGCATCGCTAAAACCACAGATACCGCCCAAACCACTGAACATACCTGCTAAAACACTGCCCTCTGCTGGCACACACAACCACACACACAACTACTGACACACACACACACACACACACACACACACAACTACTGACCCCAAGGTCACATGACACACACAACTACTGACACACACACACATACACAAATACTGACCCCGTAGTCACGTCACACACACAATTACCTACCAGCACACACATACACAACTATTGACTCCACGGTCACAAGACGCGCACAACTACTGACTCTCTCACACACACACACACACACACACACACACACACACACAAAAATACTGACCTCGCGCTCACATTACACACACAACTATTGACCACACAGTCACATGGCATACACACACAACTATTGACCCTGTGGGACAACACTGGTCACACAACACACACATGCAACTACTGACCCCGCGATCACATGACACAAACACAACTACTGACCCTGTGTTCACATGACACACACACACAAACACACAACTGAGCCCACACACTCAGGGGTCAGAATACCAGCACATTGATGACTGCAGTGTGTAAATATAGTGTGTATATAGTGTAAATATAAGAGATGGGATGTTATTATGGTGCACACTGAATGATTATGCATTGGTGGAGGGTTATTTTTGTTAATAAATCTGGTTTCTTGCATTTGTTAAACTTTGATTCACTCAAGAAAATGTTTGACTTGATCATCTTCATAATAAATGAGGAGTTTGAAGACTTCTAGGGGGATAAAGGAGAGAAAATAAGAGAAATAAAAGTGATTTTTAATATGGGTGGATCTGGAATTGTGGGTAAAATTTTGCATCTCCAAGATGAGCCTTCTTTTGTTTTTCAGAAGAAACTTTAATGAAACAAATTAGAATAATAACACAACGTTATCTATAGAAATAATGTGTGTGTGTGTGTGTGTTTTTGTTTGTTTGTTTGTTTGTTTAGGCTCTAGTATTGATTTCCGAGGGCAGTTTTTACATTTGTAAGCGCTTTATTAATAACAAAAGAGAAAATGATTGGTTTTAATTCAGTGCAGTAACTCCACACGCACATTAATATATGTAATACCACTAATATATTTGCGGATGTGTTTAACATTTCACTGTGAACACGACTAGGTTTATTTTAAAGGGACAGTTCACCTAAAAAAAAATGGACATTTACTCAGTTTACTTATTTTGAAGTGATTATCAGCCTTTAACACTTAAGAAGATATTTTGAAGAATGTTGGAAACGGGTAACCATTGACGTCTAGTACTTTTTTTCCTACTATGGGAGTCAATGGTTACCGATTTTCATCATTATGCATTACTCCATTTTGGTATTTAATACAGACAGTAAACAGTGTAGTGTGAATAGTTTGCTCTTCTCTAATAAATAATAGGTAACACTTTAAGGCAAATTAAATATTTTTTAATTATAGTTTTTATAATTTCCCAATTAGTCCAAATTTTAAATGAACAATTTTCATATATTTTTAACAACATTATAAACAGCCAGATGTTATGAATAAATCTATAATATTAAAATAATAAACTATTAACTTTGACTTTTGCGCAAAAAAAAATCAAAAGCTCTGCATCATGAGTGTGTTTGATGCAATAATAATCTGTGTGTTTTAATTGAACAGTAAGGGCTGTAAAAAGGAGACCAGATCACATCAGACTGACCTTACATTAACATGAGTGAAAGATCTGCATTTATTTGTGCCTTACATGAGGGTCCTGCGGTCAGAAGTAAAGGGCGATGGACATCCTCTCTTCAAAGGCAGGAGCAGAAGAGCGGATTCACGCACAGGTTCATTCATTTTCAGTTGCTAATAATCATCACTGTATGTTAGAAATCACAGCTGAACACAGAGATGTGAAAATTAGAGACAGGAGGAATATTTAAGGGTCACGCTTTACAATGACGGTCCATGTTAATGAATTTTTTAGCATGATATTAGCATATTTAAATTTTTGCTAATGCATTATTAAAATACAAAATTGTGCTTGTTAATACACTGAGTTAAGAAGAACTAGCAGTTAATGACTGTATATTTATTAATGTTAAAGATGAATAAAGATTGTAATAAATGTGTTGTTTACTGTTTGTTTATGCTAGTAAATGCACAGCTGATGGAATCTCATTGTAAAGTGTGACCATCAAGTCTTTTATGATCACTAATGGAGGAAAAATATGATGAAAATGCCAACGGACCCAGCCAGGACTCGAACCAGAGACCTTCTTGCTGTGAGGCCACAGTGCTGACCACTGAGACACCGTGTTTCCCTTTTTACAATGTAATAATCATATTTCTTTATATAGCACCTTTCCAGGGCTCAAGTACACTTAACAATAAACAAAAATACAGAACAGGCAGACAATAGCAAGCAATATTTATATATTATTATTACAATTTGTTTTCACGTGTCATGGTGGGTAGCACGATCGCCTCACAGCAAGAAGGTTGCTGGTTCTAGCCCCGGCTAGGTCAGTTGGCATTTCTGTGTGGTGATAAATTGGCCGTAGTGTACAGTACATGCATGAATGCAAGAGTGTATGGGTGTTTCCCAGTAATGGGTTGCAGCTGGAAGGGCATCCACTGTGTAAAACATATGCTGGATAAGATGGCGGTTCATTCCACTGTGGTGACCCACGAATAATAAAGGGACTAAGCTAAAAAGAATATTAATGAATGAATGACAATTAGTTTTCAAATTAAAATCCTATTTTTTTTTTTTCCAAATTTCATTGGTACAATTTAATAACCAAATATTAACATTTAGTATTTTGCTTCTCAAAAGGAAACATTTCATCATTAATCACATTTTTAAAGTAGATATTTGAGGAGCTGTGGAAATAATGCGAATAAAGTATGGTGTCAAATGTGTTGCTTTATTATTTGAATAAACTGATAAATGATTGAAGAAATGTTGTGTTTTATTATTATAAACGTGTTTTAATGCACTCTGTTATCTTTAGATTGTATTTTCTTTTTACTGCATCAACTCACAGATCCAGTACAATGTTAAAGAAGCAGTCGATTCATGTTTACATGCATTGTGTGCGACTGAGAAAGACTTGTGTGAACTCCGCCTTTTACAGTAGCCACGCCTCTGACATCAGTAGCCCCGCCCAGATGCAGCACACAGGTTTGTATCACAACTATTAATCATTGTTTAATAAGAGCACTGTAATAAGATGACTGAATCTGTGAGCCTGTGATGCATCTGCTTTATATTAAGTGGTCCTAATATGTAAACAATGTACTTACTGTATAAATGCATGATTTTATATAGTGCTTATGCTTTATTCAGTACATGCATGTCATTAATTCATCATTCATTTCTGTCAATACATTGTTGACTCATTTCTTTACACTATAACCCATCATTAAAGCTACCCATACCACCAAACCTGACCCTAACTTCACCCTTGGAGTGCTCTAAGTAGCACATTATGAAAACAGAAAGTACATCATATTTATTTTTTAATGTAGTTAAGGCCACTTAATATAGAGTAGGAGCAATATGATTTCTATTAATGACAGTAATGTCCAACATGCCTAGTTTTAATGTGTGTTATTTTTGATAGAACATTTGATCTCTTCAAATCTCAGGCAGTAAACACAAACAGGAGTCATGAGTGAGTATCTGACTTTATTCTCCTTCATAACATCATCAGTGAAGTTTCTACTGCAATGAATACAGGGGAAAACGAATATGAAAGGCCACGGTGGACAGTTCCAGTTTTATTTATTATAAAACATACAGCATTCATATCTCACTGCTTAAACTCAATAAAATGAAATGATAATAGTAGCTTCAACTCAAATCATGAATCATATTCAAACTAGATTTAAATAAAACTACAAAAGCACTTTTGTTCTGTTATTCTGTTCATTTTCCCTGCAGCCGGTCATCATTTATAAGCGTTGGCTTTGTGTTTGGGCAGGAAACTGAAGTTTTTAGGCACCGGCCCCAACAACATCTCACTGCAGATGGAGAAAAGAAGCGAATATAATGTTAGTGTCGAATGCTGGATTCTGATTGGCTGATGGTCACTCACAGGTGTTTGGTAATTGTCAGATAAAGGCACAGCTAAAGTAGTTCTGGCAGATTTAGAGTGCATTAGAGCTCCATATCACTCCGCTGAATGATTTGCTGCTTGATTCTGATTGGCTGATGGTCACTCTCAGGTGTTTGGTAATTTTCAGATAAAGGCACAGCTAAAGTAATTCCTGCAGATTTAGAGTGTATTACAGCTCCATATCACTCCGCTAAATGATTTGCTGCTGCATTCTGATTGGCTGATGGTCACTCTCAGGTGTTTGGTTAGTCAGATAAAGGCACAGCTAAAGTAGTTCCAGCACATTGAGAGTGTATTACAGCTCCATATCACTCCGCTGAATGATTAGAGATATTTCACAGCTACAATAGTCAGAAATCACATCAGAACACAACAGAAGGAGGAGATGTGTAAGAAACTAGTGCTAGAGCTGCACAACTGTTTCAGCATCAATACAGCACTGTGTGCATTCACAATAGTCTGTATTACAATTGAATCTGTATTATTATTACTGACCAAAATTTGAAGACACTCATGATTTGTTTATGATTATGGGTTTTGGTAACTATGAAATTACCAAAACAGTTATTATTTATGAGTGTTTCAGTCAATTTTTAACTTTAAGGAAAGTTGATTGCGTTTATGTATATATGTGATGAGACTACATGCTGTTATTTTACATTAGATTATTAAATTTGTGTATGTAAATTTTGCTAGACTTCCAGATAATCCTATAGCACTGTGTATTTTATTTGTACAGTATTGTTGCTCTACTGTATTACTGAATATTGGTTTGTTATATTTTATGTAGATGCACTCCCTTACAAAATCAGCCATGTATCGAAAATCATTCATTCTTTCCAAATAGTTCATCTGGTGAAATTATATTCAATATCGCAAAATATATCGTCAAAACATTAAATATCACAATGTAAGGATCATCATGCAGCCCTAACGCCCTTTTCACACGGGGCTTCAGCGTCAACGCTTGACTGAGGGCGTGTCTGAAGTTGGGGCTGAAGTGATCGCCGTAGCTGCGTCAGCCAATGAAATCCAGTCAGCAATAGGCCACTGTCTGAGCTGGTGTATTTGCATACAGCGGTCTGATTGGCTGACGCTTCCGTTGGTGCTTGAAAAGTTGAGCTAGTCCCAACTTCTGCAGCGAGCAACGCCTCTGAAGCGCTGCCGACGGATCCACAATGCAGTTCGGCAACGCCTGACATCACCTATTCAAATTGAATGGGAAGCGTTGACGCTGACGCCCCGTGTGAAGGGGGCGCAAGTCTTACACACAGGAGCAGTCTGACATTTGCCAAAAACCTGACAAATAAACTCCAATGCAACATAGTAGAGCAGTGATCACCTGCGGGATGGGGGATTATTACTAAATAAGGCATTGTTTTGTAGTAATTCATCTTCAGATTTTCCCTACAGCATTGTTTTCCCCTGTAATGAAGTAATTGGTGTATCTAATCTACTGTTTTGCAATAGCACGCCTGATTGGACTTTTAGAATGAATAGGCTGGATATACTCCACTCTGCTGACACACAACTGTGTTTAAACCCCTTATTAATGTCATGTTTGCATAATAGTTGCCCTTTAATAAGCCTGTATTGTCACCTGATCTGGATCCAGTCGTCCACATGTTGGCTGGCCATCAGAGTCTCCAGGTAATCTCGACCCATGTAGAACGGCGGCCGCTCATTGATCCTCTGCGGGACTCGCTCTAGCAGACCCACAGGAATATACCTGCATATACACAAACACCAGAACACTGAATAACAGGCAACACGGCGTTCAGGAAAACAAGACACGACTCGCTTATCTCTGTAGGAACTCGGATTTGAGTTGTATTTATTCTGCATGTGCAAGATTATTCGTCCTCCTGTAAAATGTTTATTATTTTTAAGTAGTGCTGTGATAATTGTAATTAATTGCATCCAAAATAAAAGTTTGTTTTGACATAATATACATACATAAATGCCGGAATATATTTGAGAAAATGTTTATGTATGTTTAGATATAACAATAAATATAGGATACTAATTATATATACACATTTAAATACCTCTGTAACCAAATAGTTTTGTTTCCATGTGTGTGTGTGTGTGTGTGTGAGTGTGTGACATATACATAATAAATATATATAACACACACACACACACACACACACACACACACATAAGTGAAAACAAACTTTTATTTTGTAAGTGATTAAGCGTAATTAATCTTTTCCCAGCACTATTTTTAAGCAATGTTTACATTTTTCACAGTTTTTCCTATTATATTTTTCTTCTGGAGAAACTCTCATTTCTTTGAGTGGCGCTGAAATGTTAAAAATATTAAACCTTTTTTTGCTTTTATCGCTGTGGTCAATATTATTCGCCCCTTCAGCAATATTAGTGTTGGATTGTCTCCAGAACAAACCACTGTTATACAATGACTTGCCTAATTACCCTAACTTTACCCTAATTACCCTAGTGAAGCCTTTACATGTCACTGTAAGCTGAACACTAGTGTCTTGAAGAATATCTAGTCTAATATTATGTGCTGTCATCATGACAAAGATAAGAGAAGTAAATGTCCGTGTGTTCTGACCTGCACAGGAAGGAGAGCCACTCCAGCAGGAAGTTGCGTGTTTTCTCCACACCCTGAGTGTCGGAGCCCCAGTGCTCCAGGCCGAAGTGTGTGAAATCCCGCAGGATGTCCAGACGCTCGGTGGAGGAGATATCCCAGTGCCGAGTCTCCTTGATCTCAGTGAAGAGCCACGGTTTGATCAGCGCTCCTCTGCGAAGACGCAGGTAAAACACGGCAGATTAAGAAAAATACAGAGCCTAAAATATGACAAAACAAGCTGGATTTTAATGACTGACAATCGTAAATTTAATTAAACTGAATATTAAATGCAGTAAAAAATAGTGCATTGAATATTGAACATCTGACATGTAAACAGTACCAATGACGCAAAATCAAACTGAACGCTTAACATGTCTAGTTTTCATATCTGCTGACTGACAGATATACATTACTGAGCAACGGTTATTTAGTCATTTACAATAAGGACACTCAGAGTTGTATAGCATTACTTTGCTACAGCAATCAACATGTAAAACGTATTTTTTAAAATATTTTTGTTTGTTTTTTGGAGGCTAAATTAAAATACCACCGAACTGCCCATGCTACTTTAGAGTTTGAGGCCTACTTTAGTAATATTGTCAAAAAATATAGTCAATATTCCTCAAAACTGACAGCTGTATTACACAGATGATGAGCTGACCTGGCCACCATGATCCCCGACACTCCTGTTTCTCTGGCCTTCATGGCATCTTCATATGACAGAATATCACCGTTACCTGTAGAACACACACACACACACACACACACACACACACACACACACACACACACACACACACACACACACACACACACACACACACAAACACACACACACACACACACACACACACACACACACACACACAGCGAGTCAAGCTAAAGTTCAATGTTTATCTTCAGTCTCTCTCTGTGTGTGTATGTGTGTGTGTGTTTGTGTGTGTGTGTGTTTGTTTACCGAACAGCGGCACTGGAGCGGCGAGCTGCGCACACGTGTTGATATAATCCCAGTCCGCCAGTTTGGTGTATCGCTGCTCGCGTGAGCGTCCGTGCAGCTACAGAGAAAAACACCACCGTTATCATACTTGCACATTTTAAAATGAGTTATTTAATTCCTATTTCTACATTTGCTGTAAATTTGAGTTTAGTTTTAGCTCATTTCATTCATTTTAGTTTAGTTTTTAATTCATGAACATTTATATTTCGCTTTTATTTGTTTAGTTTTAGTAACTGTAATTGCTGTTTAGATTTAGTTGGTTTTATTAATTAGTTTTAGTATTTTGTGAACAAATTTCTGTTCAGTTTTAGTTATTGGAGTTGATCAGAGTGAACAGAACATGCTTGTAACAGCTTGTGCAAAACTCCGAGTGATGAAAATAAAATAAGTTTGAACAAACCCGAAATACAAAAAATGAAAGTAAAAATGATCAATAATTAGAACAAATTTCTTCATATTAAAGATCATTGCCTAGTTTACTTTTTTTAGCACATGAAAAAATGCATGTATTTGTAAAAGTGCACCTACAAGTCAGATTTTACACTCTAGAATAGGCTTATTACTTCCAAAATGTATTATTTTTATAATTATTATTTTTATTATCGGTATATTTTGTTAATTATCTGTAATTGTGTGCTGCTCTTGGTACCGTGATGAGTGAAACGCCCCACTTCTTCATCTCGGGGATCAGCTTGTGTGCGATGTTGCTGTTCTGCTGGACTCCTGTGCGGATCTTCACTGTTAGAGGAACGTCCAGCACCTGCAGAACAGCACAACACTTACAGCTGAACATCATCATTCTCATCATTAATCCAGAGGGCAGATTCAGCAAATATTAACTCTCGTAACGCAGTAATTTGGTAGAATCTGTTGTTGTATTTCAGGTCTGTTTGGACCTGATAAATTGTAAAATTTATTTATTTTTAATTTATAGTTTAATTTATTTTCATTGATTCCTGAATACTGAAACATTTCATCATATATTTGATGTAGTGACTTTTTCAAATAAGCTTTCTCATCAGTTTAATAATAATATATGTTATATATCATTTATATAAAATATTTAAAATAAAAATATTTTAAAAATGCATACAATTTTATATCAATTTCCCAATACTGATGAAAAATTTGATTTGAATAAATCACTGCATTGATAACCCCATTGGACTTAATGAAAATAAAATAATTTATACAGCTGCATTTGTTATGAGGGGCTGCAACAAACATGTGATTTCATTTATATTTTCACTTCACTTATAATTTCTTGATCATTTTCACAGATAGCTTCCTCTCTGAGAGTATTTTCATTGATCTGGTTGCATCATGTGAACGATCACTGATGTTCAGTAATGCAGTTCAGTGCTGAGAGTCACATGTTACACTAATAATAAGATGAAACAGAGTCTGTAAACAGTAATAAGTGATGACGAAGACTCTGTTCACTTACTGAATTCATCCCTCTCACAATCTGCTCAAACTTGCTGGTTCTGGTCATGAGTCCACATCCGCCACCCTGCAAAAACAAACACAACACACACACACACACACACACACACACACAAGGGGTCATATGTGTAAATAATAATAATGTGTGTTCTTTAATACAGATTATAAATCCTCGCAGCCTTTTTCTGTAGATTACCTTCTTGTAAACGAGATCGATGGGGCAGCCGGAGTTTATATCCACAAAATCCACATCGATGTTCTGGTTGAGCAGCTCGGCACATCTGGTCATAGTGTCTGGAAAACATCCTTCCAGCTGCAAAAACACATTCACATCACCACAAACACTCATTTACAACGAACACTTCTGTACAGCTTTATTCTGATAACACACACTAAACTTCACACTTTTATTTACTTTTTTTAATGGATTTTTTAAGATTTATTTTTTGGGCTTTTTGCCTTTATTAGATAGGACAGAAATCAGACCGTAGGCGAAGTGGGAGACAGAGGAGGGGGGTGGGTTTGGGAAATGTCCAAGAACACAGCTTCTTCAAACTAGTCAACAGCACATTGATGATCATATAACAACACACTGCCACTGTACATCTAGATGTTAAATTTGAAGAGTTATCGGTTATCAATATTGGCCAAAATTTCCAAATTCATGCGTCCAGGCATAGATTTAAAGAGTTTCTGTTATCGATATCGGCCAAAATTTCCATATCGGTGCAGCCGGACGTAAATTTGTAGATTTATCGGTTATCAATATCAGCCAAAATTCCCATTTAGTGCATCCAGATATAAATTTACAGAGTTATCGGTTATCGATATCGGCTAATATTTCCATATGGGAGCATCCAGACTTCAATTATTAGTTATCAATATCGGCCAAAGGGTATCAATATCGTGCATCCGGATGTAAATTTAAAGAGTTATTGGTAATCGATCTCAGGCAAAATTTCAGTATCCATGCATTCTGGACATGAATTTTAAGTTATCGGTTATCGATATCAGTCAAAGATTGTAGCATTAAAAACATTGATATTAGCATGTGGTAGTTGTACCTGAACACCAAACAGGTCCTCTGAGGCATGTCTCTTCAGAAGAGCCCATTCAGACGCCTGACCCTGCAGCAGATTAGTGCACATGGCCATCTCTCCACACGTGATGTCAGCTCCGAACCGCTTGCACACACGCCGGAACGGCAGATTTCCACACTGCAGCACAACACACACACACCGTGAGCTGCCAAAACACACTTCATCAAAACACACTGACGTCCCGATTAATATTAGAGGCAGGAGTTTACCGTAGTAAGAGGAGCCAGATACAGCTTGTCTCTGAAATCCACCTGAGATGAGGGAGGCAAATAAAAATTCAGATGCAAACCGGTATATAAAGATCTATCGACATTGAGTAAAAAATATAGAAAAAGTCACATTGCATATACAGTATGTCTCATATTAACTATCATGCTGAACTGCACGGTTACATGCAAATTATGACACACCTGTTTCTTTTCACAGGGTCTCAGTTTGATGATGTCGGCATCAGTAATGGGCCCAATGGTCTTTATAGGAGGAACCTGCAGTTCACAACACATTTACATGATCAGCAAACTCAATCCAGAGCCTTTCTGAAGCAAAACCGCTGTATGTGTCATGCACTGAATAATCGATATCGGCCATAATATCCATATCAGTACATCCAGACTTAATTTTGAAGACTTATTGTTATCAGTTTCGGCCAAAATGCCCATATCGGTACATCCAGAATGAAATTTAAAGAGTCGTCGGTTATCGATATCAGCCAAATTTTTCATACTGGTGCATCCAGATATAAATTTAAACATTTATCGGTTATCAATATCAGCCAAAATGTCCATATCAGTGCATCCACACTTGAATTTGAAGAGTTATCGATTTATTGGTTATTAATATCAGCCAAAATTTCAATATCTCTGCATCCAGACTTAATTGGTTATAAATATCGGCTCAAATGTCCATATCTCAGCATCCAGTCTTCAATTTAAAAGGTTATCAGTTATCAATATCAGCCCAAATGTCCATATCGGTGCATCCAGTCTTCAATTTAAAAGGTTATCAGTTATCAATATCAGCCCAAATGTCCATATCGGTGCATCCAGACTTAAATTGAAAGCATTATCGGTTATCAATATCAGCCCAAATGTTCATATCAGTGCATCCGGACTTCAATTAAAAGCCTTATCGGTTATCAATTTTGGCCCAAATGTCCATATCGGTACATTTAAGCTTAAATCGAAAGTGTTATCGATTATCAATATTGGCCCGAATGCTTATATTGGTACATTCAGACTTAAATTGAAAGTGTTATCGGTTATCAATACTGGCTCAAATGTCTATATTGGTACATTCAGACTTAAATTGAAAGTGTTATCGGTTATCAATACTGGCTCAAATGTCTATATCGGTACATTCAGATTTAAATTGAAAGTGTTATCGGTTATCAATACTGGCTCAAATGTCTATATCGGTACATTCAGACTTAAATTGAAAGTGTTATCGGTTATCAATACTGGCTCAAATGTCCATATCGGTACATTCAGACTTAAATTGAAAGAGTTATAAGTTATTATTACTAATAATTTTTAACTAAATCAATGAACAATAGTGCATTATTCTGCTTATACTACAGTCACCACAGCTAAAGCCACTGTTAATGTGTTCAGATGTTTCAGACAAGTGAACTGAGGTTTAGTGAGTGATGCATATTTCACCTGTGTCTCTCGTCTATTGGCAGAATCAGAACCGTTTTTGCTTGGATCTTCCACACTTTGTCTCTGATCTTCAGTATTTTTGCTCTGAATGTTGGCGTTTTCTCTTTGGTTATTAGTTTGTGTCTGATCTTCAGTATTTTTGCTCTGCTCATCAGTTTGTTCTCTCTGTTCTTCATGTTTTTGTCTCTGATCTTCATGTTTTTCTCTCTGCTCTCTGCTGTTGTGTTCAGGTCTGGGTGCGCGGCTGATGCTCTTCAGAAATGCGTCTGCTCCGGGGAATCTCTGCTGTTTTTTGCGCAGGCGTTTCTGCAGCTCCTTGTCCAGCAGGTTGGTGGTGTTTTCTCGGCCAGCAGAGGCTCTGTACAGCTCCGTGTTCACCATGTTCTTCAGATCGGCGCTGGTGTGTGCTTTAGCGTAGCGGCAGGTCAGGCCATACGGACACTTCCCCAAGGTGTTGAAAAGGTGACACTGATCACCCAGATCCGCAGCTTTCGTGGACAGATACTCGCTCACATCATGCAGAAAGCGACACTTCTCACCATACGGACACACAGAGTCTCGCTCCTGGAGGACACACACATACAGGAAAACCATGAAGCCAGATTAGCTGGTTAGCAAGTCAAGTTTCAGTTTAGTTTGCACCAATCCAGGGTTTTAGGTAACAATTATGTTGCTTGGCTTAAATCATTCTTTGTCTGGCAGGCCGGTTATATTCTGGTTATGTTCTGGAAATATTCAGCTTGACTTTAGGCTATGTTCAGGTTATATTCAGCTTATGCTCTAGTTATATTCAGGCTATGTTCAGGTTATATTACGGTCATATTCTGGTTATATTCAGCTTATGTTCAGGTTATATTCAGGTTATGCTCTAGTTATATTCAGGCTATGTTCAGGTTATATTATGGTCATATTCTGGTTATATTCAGGTTATGTTTTGGTTATATTCAGCTTTTATTCTAGTTATATTTAGCTTATGTTCAGGTTATATTCTGGTTATATTCAGGCCATGTTCAGGTTATAATCTGGTTAGGCTCTGGTTATATTCAGGTTATGTTTTGGTTTTATTTAGCTTTTATTCTAGTTATATTCAGCGTATGTTCTGGTTATGTTCAGGTTATATTCTGGTTATATTCAGATTTTATTCTGGTTATATTCAGCTTATGTTCTGGTTATATTCAGATTATGTTCTTGTTTTGTTCAGGTTATATTCAGGTTATGTTCTGGTTATATTCAGCTTATGTTTTGGTTATAATCTGGTTATATTCAGGTTATAATCTGGTTAGGTTCTGGTTATGCTTTGGTTATATTCCGCTTTTTTTCTAGTTATATTCAGGTTATGTTCAGGTTATAATCTGGTTATATTTAGGCTATGTTCAGGTTAAATTCTGGTTATATTCAGCTTATATTCTGGTTATATTCAGCTTATGTTCTGGTTATGTTCAGGTTATATTCAGTGTTTGGATTATTCAGGTTATCTTCAGGTTACATTCAGGGTTATCTCAAGTCGCTCAGAACTCCCTAGCAACTGGATATCAACCACATATGACAAGTATCTCTTTAACTCTACAAACAGTTTCAAATATCAAACTTTCAGAACGACTTCAAACTTTCAGGCTCGACTTTCTCAAGCCAACATCAAGGTGCATCTCAAACTTTACCATCCAGTTTTACACTGTTAGCTCCTGCATTAACCAACAGGAGTTTACTGCAAAACCTTTCCGAAACAATGAATACGAATAAGCACGTTTGTAAGAGCTGATGCAGAAGAGTGTGTTGCAGACCTGAATGATGGAGGTGCAGAGGCGTTTATCCTCATAGGTGTGTGGTTTAACATGCGGTCTGCTTTTATTCTGTCCTCTCATCTTTATCTTCTTCTTCTCCTGTTCTGCTGTTTCTCCTTCATTCTCCAGCCGGATCTTCTTCTTCTCTGGTTCTCCTCCATCTGGATCTTCTTCATTCTTCTGACTCGAGCGGCCCGACGACAGGAACTCATGAAACTTCTCTTTACTGGTGAGAAACCTACAAAACACAGATGATGTGTGTGTTAAACTGCAGATGATGAATAACAGCATGATTAGAATGTAATATATAATATAATGTAATGTATCTGTACTGTGATTTAATGGCGGCGGCGCCTCTTTCAGCCTCCAGCACTGTAGAGTCCATCATCATAACACAATCCTGACCCAGAAACCTGGACAAAAATCATATAGTCATATTTATTATAAATAATATGAAAGTAATTGGACATACTGTATCATCAACATATTCATAATATCAGCACTTTAAAGAGGTCATCTTATCATAACATGTGAAAAAACTGTGTGAATAATAAAAATTGAGTGTTAAATAAAAATAAATACATTTAAAATATTTGATTATCATAAACTTACAATTAAAATAAATAAATAATTGACCAAAACGTGATTAACATTAGATTAAAACTAATAAACATTACATAAGAATATAATAAACTAATTAATAAATAACAAAAATCGCCTAACAGTGCAATACTATAGTTAATGGGCAATTCTAAAAGACAAGATATATTAACAATTAACACGTCTATATTTATATTTCCACCAAAATAAGTTGTTTCTCACAAAAGAAATATGAATATATACAGATTATTTTTATGCAACGATGAAATATGGACGACGAAACCTGCAAAAACAATAAATATGTAAAAAAATTAATAAATCCACAAAATCCCTGCATAAATAAAACAATAAATAAATAAATATGCATATATATATATATATATATATATATATATATATATATATATATATATATATATATATATATATATATATATATATAAAAATAAGACCACTAATTCCTGCATAAGTAAATACATTTTTCCTAACATCCTGGCAATTTATTTATTTATTAATCTGCTATCACTTTTAATTATTTATATATTTATTTATGCAGGAATTTGTGTATTTATTTATTTGCGTGTTTATTTATGGTTTTGTTTATGCAGGAATTTTATGGATTTATTTACTTATTTATTTAATTGCGTAATTGTTTATTTATAGTTTTATTAACGCAGGAATTTGTAGATTTATTCATTTACTTATTTGCGTATTTGTTGTTTTATTTACGCAAGAACTTGTAGTTTTATTTATTAATTCATTCATTTATTTGCGTATTTATTTATTTATTGTTTTTGCAGTTTCGTCCTCCATAATGAAGATGATCGTATGCATTTATAAAACTCAAACCCCGTCATAAAAGTATCTGTGAGGCTCAGAGGAGGAACAGATTATGAGAAATAATGAAGTGCGAAACAGCGATTCTTCAAACTAACTGCACAGATCCACAGGATTAAAGGGTTAAAAGTGCGTGACAGTCGAAAAGAACGATGAAATATCGCTCTCACAACCGCTCTAACATCACTTCATGTTCATATCTGATCACAATTATTGATCATCATCGCTCACCTGCAAGTAAGTCCTGTATCTGCACATGTAAACCACAGCGGAGAAACTGCAGGAAGAGTCCGGGCGGAAACAAGAACTCGCGCAGGACAGTTCCGCGCATGCGTCATATAAAACCGTGTATTTGATTTATTCTGTATATTGATGACTGTGTACTATTAAGGATATAACTCTTCATAACTTCATAAAAATATGCTAATATTTGCAGCACAAAGGTGCCTTATTTTTATTTTTTCAAAACACATGTCTTTGATTAAAAAAAGCTGCAATCTAAATTTGTAACAAAAAATTATAATTAAAATATTTGTCTATATGTGTGTGTATATATATATAGAAACAAGCTAATATGCATGTATAATAAGCATTATTACTCCAGTTTTCAGTACTTATGAACTTTCAGAAATCACTGAGGATCTGATGATCAAGAAATATCATGAATATAAAAATATAGAAATGTTTATTTATGATAATGCATGTTTAAAATAGGACACTGATATACACTGTGATGCTAAGCAAACAAAAACTACGAGTATTTAGTATTTACTCCAATTTAAATGCCGTAAAATGAACTCAAGAACCCAAGACAAGTTTAAAAATATAAAGATTTAATGGATTTAAACAAGTTATTTACATGTTTTCAAGTGTATCTCATTTACAACTGCTTATATTAATCATAAAAATACAAGTACATCCATCATTTGACCAAACAGGCTACATCTGATCCAAGCAAATCACTTTAGACACAATTTTGTGTTGATTGAACACACATAGGGATTATTTAAAGGGACAGTGCACCCCAAAAAAACATTTACTCATCCTTTGTTTAAAGACTTACATTTTTAAACCCTTTACTTGTTCCAAAACTGACTTTTTATACTGTTGGACACATAGTAGGATAGATTAAAGAACATCAAAAACCTGTAACCATTGACTTCCATAGCATTTATTTTTTTACCATGAAAGTCAATGGTTACAGGTTTTCATCATTCTTCAAAATATCTTATTTCAACAGAAGAAGAAATTAATAAAGGTTTATAACAATTTGAGGAAGAGTAAATAGTTCTCATTTTTAGATGCACAGTCCCTTAGAGAGCAGAGTTTAAAGAATGTCAAAAATCGGTAACCATTGACTTCCACAGTATTGGTTTTACCTACTATGGAAGTCAATGGTTACAGGTTTTCCTTAACAAGTTTTAAAATATTCTTAAAAAACCTTTAACTTTAAACATTTTTTAAACCTTTTGCTTATTTTATCACAACACATATGATGATATTTTGAAGAATGTCAAAAACCAGTAACCATTGACTTCCATAGGATTACCTTTACCTGGTTACAGGTTAGATGTGCTACATATTTATGTGTACTGTCCCTTTAAGAACAGAAGTGACCATAATGGAGCTCCATACAGACACTTTTATGCACATTTTGTCCATGTGTTCTGTCTTTATAATTCATTCTCCAGTCTCCTCAAAAGAATCTAGCGTTACTATTTAATTATTTTGCACAATTATTAATCCTTTATTTTTTTTGAAAGTTTTAAACCTTTTGTAAATCTTTTACTTGTCCCAAAACTGCCTTTTCATCTGTTGAACACATAAGAAGATATTTTGAAGAATGTCAAAAACCGGTAACCATTGACTTCCATAGTATTAGTTTTTCCTACTATGAAAATCAATGGTCACAGGTTTTCAGCAGTCCTTAAAATACCTAAAATATTTAACAACATAGTTATATTTTGAGTTCAACAGATAAAACAGCATGAGTGAACGAGGAAAATTAATTTTGTAGATGTACTGTCCCTTTAAGAGCAGAAGTGACCACAATGGATCTCCACACAGACACTTTATAAGCACATTTAATCCTCATCCTCCATCTTTACAGCTCATTCTCCAGTCTCCTGATCTTCTCCTGGAAGCGTTTGTTGCTCATATCCAGCACTGCGATGCCCTGTTTCTGGAAGTCGTAGTCCAGCGCTCGGAGCTGCTCCAGCCTCCGCCTGATGTTCTCCACACTGAAGTCCAGCACTTTGGGTTTGAGGATGAGCTGCTGGATGTTGATCCCAGCGTCCAGAAAGCAGTCCAGCTTGGTGTTCAGCAGCTGCGCAGACATGAAGAGCACCAGTGAGAACTTGAGGATCATCTTCCTCAGATCTTCCTCTCCGCAGCCTAGAGATCGCAGTTTCAGGCGCAGGTTCTGGAAGTTCTTCTTCAGACTCTCGTGGGACAGGTCCAGGATCAGTGCGCCGTGGCTCTGGAGGAAAACCTGCGCCTCAGAGTCACTCAGCTTCATCTCGCTCAGCAGGAAATCCACATTGGCTCTGATGCGGTTGGTGCTGCGGATGAAGATGTAGAGGTTTTTGGAGATGATGATCCTGGCGAACTCTTTCTCGTTGTCTCCGCCCAGACTAGCGCAGACGCTCTGCAGGAGCTCCACCATGTTTCTGTTGAGCGCCACGCTGTTGGAGAAGGTGCGTGGAGCTGTGGTCAGCAACCGGTGGAGGTCTTTAGGAGTAATACCTGCAGGAGACATGCAGATATTCAATTATTCGATATATGGGATGATGAGCACACAGAATATTATTATATATTTGCATTTATTCAACAGATCACGGTAATGAGCATGCACAATATTGTTATAACATATGCTGACATATGCTGATATTCAATAATGCAATATATGGTGATAATGAGCATGCACAATATTAATATTAGACGTGCTGATATTCATGCATATATTTAATTATGCAATAATTCACAATAATGAGCATGCACAATACTGAAATGAGATATTTGCATACATTAAATAATTTAATATATCATGATGATGAGCATGCCCAATATTGATATTAGACAAATGCATATATATATAATTTATTTTATGGTGATGTACACAATATTATTATGAGATTTATCCATATATTCAATAATTCAATATATTGTGATAATGAACATGCACAATATTGATAATAGACATATGTATAACATCAATAATTCAATAAATGGTGTCAAGGAACATAATATTAATATTGTGCATGCTCATTATCACTAGATACTGAATTATTAATCATTGGAGATGTGTAATATTAATATTGTGCATCCATATTATCACTAGATACTGAATTATTAATCATTGCATATGTCTAATATTAATATTGTGCATGCTCATTATCACTAGATACTGAATTATTAATCATTGCATATGTGTAATATTAATATTGTGTATGCATATTATCACTAGATATTGAATTATTAATCATTGCATATGACTAATATTAATATTGTGCATGCTCATTATCACTAGATACTGAATTATTAATCATTGCATATGACTAACATTAATATTGTGCATGCTCATTTTCACTAGATGCTGAATTATTAATCATTGCATATGTGTAATATTAATATTGTGTATGCATATTATCACTAGATATTGAATTATTAATCATTGCATATGTCTAATATTAATATTGTGCATGCTCATTATCACCAGATACTGAATTATTAATCATTGCATATGTCTAATATTAATATTGTGCATGCTCATTATCACTAGATACTGAATTATTAATCATTGCATATGTCTAATATTAATATTGTGCATTCTCATTATCACCAGATATTGAATTATTAATTATTGCATATGTCTAATATTAATATTGTGCATGCTCATTATCACCAGATATTGAATTATTAATCATTGCATATGTCTAATATTAATATTGTGCATGCTCATCATCACCAGATATTGAATTATTAATTATTGCATATGTCTAATAGTAATATTGTGCATGCTCATTATCACTAGATACTGAATTATTAATCATTGCATATGTCTAATATTAATATTGTGCATGCTTATTATCACCAGATATTGAATTATTAATTATTGCATATGTCTAATAGTAATATTGTGCATGCTCATTATCAACAGATGTTAATATTCTGAATGTCAGCATGAGTCTATCATCAGAGAAACTCTGACAGCCTGACCTAGAGACTTGAGAAAAGTGATGTTCTCCTCCAGGTTCTTGTTGTCGCTGGAGCGGAAGAATGACTCTGGGGATCTGGAGAGGATCTCCACCATCTCGCCGTCGCTCTGGAAGATGCTCCTCCAGAGGCTCCAGCGCTCCTGCAGGTGTTTGCTGGAGCGAGTGATGCATCGTGGGAAGCGTGAGATGATGCTGGCGACGGCGGCCGCGTCTGCACCTTTGCTCTGCAGGAAGCGGGCGAGTCCCTGCTCATTGGTCAGCGCTCGCTTCAGGACGCCCGGGTGCCGTCTGCGGGCCGAGCTCAGGTCCACACCCAGGCTGGACAGGCTTTCCAGAAGACACTTGTTCTCCGCTGCTGGATCCACATTCTGGGGACTGGAGCTGCAGAGGCGAGACGCTACAGGAAGCTGAACACATCTTCTGACGGACAACAGGAAGTAGAACATCTGCCTCTGTGCCATCTGATGACCAGAGGAAATACTCATTGATTCAGTCATTTTCATTCAGCTTAGTCTCTTATTTATCAAGGGTCACCACAACGGAATGAACCGCCAACTATTCCAGCTTATGATTATGTAGCGGATGCTTTGAGCTGCTGAAGATAATGTCAGCATAGACTAAGAGGATTATAGATGTGGAGTTTTAGGAGGTGAACACCTTAAATAAATAACTAATTAGATTGATTGAGACAGTTCTGTAGAGGACTGAATCATGAATTAAACACAATAAACAAATAACAAGCCTAAATGAATATAATAGATGGATTCATGTAAGTCACAGAGTATTTATGTACAGAATTAAATGATGAAATCTAAAATAATTCTGTTGTTTCACTGTGTAAAATGAATCTTACAAAGATAAAAAGGGCAAAATCTACTTTGTGAAAACTTTAAACATTAATAAGTCAACAACAGCTCAGTGGTGTCACACTGTGGCCTACTGTTAGATCAGGGGTGTCCAAACTCGGTCCTGGGGGCCGGTGTCCTGCATATCTTAGTTCCAACCCCAATCAAACACACCTGAACAGCTGATCAAACTCCTTCTAGGCATACTAAAAACCTCCAGGCAGTTGTGTTGAAGGAAGTTGGAGCTAAACTGTGCAGGACAGCAGCCCTCCAGACTGAGTTTGGACACCCCTGTGTTAGATGGTTGTTGTTATTTATTTGCTTGTCATATTTTTATGTGATGTTTATTAATCTAATGTCAGTCAAGTTTTATTTATTTATTTAAATTATTTTATTTTATTTTAACATTTAAATGTTATTTATTTTAGTCGTTTGTCGTTCATGAATTTGCCTATTTTATTTATATTAATATTTATTTTGAGTAATGTTTATTTTAGTCTTAATAATTAATATTTATTATAATATAAAATGAGGTGGCTCAGTGGTTACAGCAAGAACGTCACTGGTTCAAGTCCTAGCTGGGTCAGTGTGTGTTTTTGTGTGGAGTTTGCATGTTCTCCCCGTGTTGGTGTGGGTTTCCTCCGGGTGCTCCGGTTTCCCCCACAGTCCAAACACATGCGCTATAGGGGAACTGATCAACTACACTGACCATAGTGTATGAGTGTGTGTGTGAATGAGTGTTTTCCAGTACTGGGTTGCATCTGGAAGGTAAAACAAACTAAAACATGCTGGAATAGTTGGCGGTTCATTCTGCTGTGGCGATGAGTAATGATTGAATTTGTAACTTTATGGCATATTTATTTCAATACACTTCATTTACATGTAAACAAACCGCTTTTAAAAGCCACATTTTATAAACAGTTGTCTAAGTGTGATTAATCAACTCACAAAGTATGAAATGGGTTAATTAATGACGTGTTTTCTCCTGATTCTCCTCAATGCGCGCACTGATTTTGATCATTATAAATACCTAATAATGGTAAAAGCAACTTAATATCGACCAGCAGCATTACATTTGTCATCGAACATCTATACAATGAATTAGACGCTCCATATATGTATAAACAATACCAATAACCCTTCTGTGTGCACAAATAAAGTCGTTTATAAAGCGCTTTACAGAGATCGTAAGACTGTAAACAGAAAGTGGATGTTTATCTGCTGTTATATCGCAGAATAAAACTCTCCACGCGGATCTACAGCTGTAAACATAGAGGCTTCTAATTTTAGCATGATGCCTCCTGAGTACTGCTCGCTGTTTGCGTGTTTATTTCAAGAAACTGTAGTAAAGAACACATTATTATGACCTACCAGATCCAGACACGCGTGCGCGCTTCCCTGAGTGTAGAGTCACAGCGCCTCCTGCAGACCTGGAGAAACAGCGACACTGCACTCCACACGGCGGCGCTGCAGGAACACTTATACCGCCAGATATATATATATATATATATATA